AGCCCAGCTTCTAAACTCTACAATAAAACAGTAAACCTAAAGATGCATGGGAAAGCCAGGCATGGTGGTGCACACCTGTAATCCCAGCACTCGGGAGGCTGAGGCAGGAGGATCGTTGCAAGTTCTTGAACCCAGCCTGGGCTACAAAGTGAGCCCATGTCTCAAAAAAAAGATGCATGGGAACGTACAGTGGTAGCACAGAGATGTAATGGCAGCCTTGAATTAGGGGAGGCAGCCTATGAAGGGAAGCTAGCACATGCGCACCTGAAGCTGCCTGTATCTCATCATAAAGACAGCATAGACCAGCAGTCACCTCTAGGGCACTAGGTCGATAGCACATAAAGAACAGGTGAGTTTATAGTTCATATTTAAAAATTGTGATCGTCATTCAAACAATAATCGTACTTCAAGTCTGCTGATAGAAAAATACCTATGCATAGATCTTAATGTAGCTATAATTTAAATTCATCTCCAATGAATTTCAATCTACATACACATAAAATTCATTCATAATACAATATCTCTTCCAGCTAACAAGGCTTGGTGAATACATGGATTTTCAGGTCTTTCTGCTACCCAGCAGTTCACAGTTTACAGTTTAGAAATTACTGAATTAAACTCTTTCAGGAAGCCTCTATATCTAAAGTGTGAAGAGTCTACACTGATAATAATAATTTTTTAAAGCACAAATTGCATTCAGTGTATAAATGTAAGGGGAGCACAGAAATGTGCAATGTGTCTTTGAAAGATCTCATGGAAGTTAGTTTGGATCAAATTTTGGTGCAAGAGGCAGACCATTTGCCTCTGTAAATCACCGTCTCCTTTACATTGAGTTGTCATCTTTACCCACCAGTGAACCAAGGAGATGTTGGTCCGGCTTCCCAAACCTCCCTCACCTATCAACACTGTTATTTTTCCAAAGGTAGTTCTACTTCATTTTCTTCAAAGAGCACTAAATATCCTGAGGAATCTATCTAAATCTTATCTCAATAATTAAAAATCAAAGCAACATTGGTCAGAAGAAAGAACACAGTCTGATTCCAGGCTTTTAAGAAAACACTTAAAAGAACAGAATCTAGAGCCAGGCATCATATTTTCTCTAAAAATGTATTGAAAGGGATCTTGTTAAACATTCAGGGAGATGGAAAAGAAGAAATGATGAGGTCAGAAAAGTGGACTAGCCCTGAGTAGGACCAAGTTTATCACCAAATTATAAGACCCTTTGTATTTCAGTCCCACTATTTAACTGCTGCAGCAAGATTATTTTTGGCTGCTTTTTTTCATATTTCAGCTAGACTTAATACTTATTGTGTACTTCTAGGTCACTTGAATTTATTAATGTTCCCAAAATTATACTGTCCTAATGATGTATTTAAGGAGACCTACATAGAGAGACTTGAAATTTCTCATAGAGATTTCTAAAAATACAAGCGGTATTGAATGTGTACTATACCCAGTACTAAGTATTAGTTTCATTTGTTCAAGAGCAGAAGAGGCACAATTCTGCTCCCCTGGGCCATGTGCAGTATGATTCTGAATATAATAAATCCATCCTGAAATAAGCTGTCCCTCCGGCCACGCCATTGTAACAGTCACACGCATAGTACAAATTTAGGACCTCGGTTCTGCCGGCACTTGCCAATTTCTGATCTCTGTGTCAATTCTGCAAAGGCGCCCTAATTCGGCAGCACTTGAATAATACTGCGGGGCTGCTGATGTCTGAAGGAGTCATTAGCGATTGGCAACAACATGGCAGGCAACAAGCAGGAGCATTCAAAAGCCTCTGGCCGGAATCACTCTGGGGGAGCTACCACAGCGAAAAAGCGTCTCAGAAGTCTGTTTTCACTACTTTTTCTTCCTGACTCATAGGGAATTTTTTTCCCACCAAATGTCCACATCTCCTCCTATGTGTCACCGCTTCAGACGTGTTTTTTAAACAACAACAGAAACGGCTGCAACGGGACGACCACGGGCATTGGTACCCGACCTCTAGTCACCACATTAGCTGCACAGCCTTGTGGCCCATTTGCTTTTAACTTTGTCCACGCGTGCCATTTGTTATTCCCTCTGCTGCTTGCTTTTATAAAAACAAATCACTCCAGAACAAGAGGCGACGCCAAAAGCAGCTTCATGTTCACCACCGTCTTCACCCCAAGCGGCATCGCTGGTGGGGCACCTGTCACCTGCTGCAGCCTCCGCCCCGCATGAGGGCAACCTGCTCTGGCCTTGGTCCTCGGTTCTTTTTGGAGGAGGCAGGCATTTGCCTCACTTGGGTTCAGGTGTGGTACTCGGCCCAGCTCTGAACCTTGCTGCCAATCAGAAGCTTGGTGCCAGGAATGGTGCTTGGTTGCTCTCACGGGTGGCTCCAAGGAGACAGTCCTGAGTTTGGTGACAGCTGTAGGAACCAATAGGCTCCTACTATAATAGAGAAGAGTTGGAGCCTTTGATAAAAAGTCATTGAGAAATAGCTGTGGCACCTCAGGTGCAACTGATTTGTTTATTGTTTTTAGAAGCAGAGGTTAAGTTCCTGTCCTGTGGCCTGTGGCTTCAGTTAAGCTCAGAAAAATGTTTTTTAAAAAGCTGTACCTGACACATGTAGGTCCTTACGTGCAAATCTCTGTAAGCCCATTAAGTTCAATAAATATTTAGTTCCAAATCTCAATAGCCAGTGGAGCCCTGGAGTCTTGGCAGCCTCCCCAAGGATGCACTTCTGTGGTGGTGGGAAAGCGGCAAAATTTTAGGTAGAAAGAAAACAATTGGCTCCATCCAGTAATGGAATTCTGCTGCTCTCTATGTCTAATATTATTCTCAGCTTCCAAAGATGAGGACCATCCTAGCTGTAACCACCCACGGTTGTCAGTTAATTATCAATTCAGTTAGTACCTGCAGCCAGCTTGAGGCCTCCTCCATCTCAGAGCTGTGGGTCCTCTTTGCCAAAGCCATTTCTACAGTTTCAGGCCCTAATCCCAGCTAGCGGATGGAGGACGGACCCCAGTTTCCACTTGGGGCGCACCTGTCTGGCCCTGGACAGAGCCGCCCCAGATAGTCTGAAATGGTCACAGAGGGGCCAGGAAGCTGAGCTGTCCAAACTGAAATGCCCCATGCTCGGCGCAGCCCTCAGCAGGTCTGGCTGATTCTATGTAAACACAGAGACAGGCATGAAACCGATTTTCTAAATATCTGGCTTTTCTTCTTATTGGCTTTCCTCTTCATTTTTGCTGCTGCTTCCTTTTGACTTATTTATTTTTCTTTCTTTCCTGTTTTTTTCCCCCTTGCTAATTCTGTTCCAACCAGGTAGCCATGCATTTTCCAGGGAGCCTATAAAAAGAGTTTATTCCCTCATCTACTTAGTGAATATGCAAGCTATTTGAGGTCATTTTTTTTTTTTGCATATTTTTAAGGTAGATGATAATTCCTTGCCTTGGATAGAATTTACTCAAATCAGAAATGTCTCGGGTTACAAGTACTAAACCCGGCAGCTCCCTTTTCTTTCCCTTTTTTGTTAGAGAAGAAGTTTGCAGCACTTGGGATCCCTGTGCACGAAGGTGGCCCCTCTGGCCACCTGGGGCCGGCCGGAAATAGTGACCACGTGGGCGCCTGGTCACTGCGCACTGACCATCAACAGCCCTCACCCGCTACAGCCTCAACACACACTTTCTGGCAGCACCTTTTGACTCTGGTCTTTATCTTTAAATGAGGGCACGGTGATCAGCAGCTCAGGCCTTTCCGAGGGTGCTGGCTCAGAAGAAATGCAGCTTTTATAAAAAGCCAGGGCCCTTCGCCATTGGGGTATCTGGTCTACCTACTGAAAAAACACAGAAAGGCCAATGCCAGCAAAGAAGTACTAACCTGAAATTGAGAGAGCAAATGTCTCCCTGAAAGGGATAAAGCCTGAGATGGAATTTAATGGCTTCTCTGAAAAAATGTTTTAAAATGCATGTGGCTCAATTCCATGTTAGCACAGCAGCAGTCAAAATAAACCGGACCTGTCAGGAACTGGCCCTGAGAGAATGTTATGAATAGACTTATTTTGTGAAGTTGTCACTTTACACACCCAGAAAAACCAACCAAGGGTAAGCTTGGCTCCCTCGGCGTTGATGTCGGTTAAATACCTCCTTTGAATGCCTTCAATTCAATTTGGCTAGTGATGTGAGTTTTGTTGCTATTTCCTAGTTTTCTGGGAAAGAAATTAAAGACCGGGGCTGCACAGATGTTGCCCACGGCGCGGAAGGGCCGAACACGTTGGTAAAACGCATCCCCGGCTGACCGAGAGCCCGCGGGCTTCTGAATGAAAGCCTTGTTACCTGGAAGTGTTTGCAGTGTACAGCTTGGCAGGAGCCGAGGAGGCCAAGGGGAAGAATCGCCCCTTTCACCCAGAGCTGCCAGTGTCCTGCACCCGAGTTCATGTTCGTGCTGGGGGCCCTCACTGAGCTGGTGCCACCCTTCAGAGCTAAGTGTTCCCTGATTCCTGATCAGAAGCACCAACTCGCCGCCTCCTAGTTCAGCTTTGCCTATGTCCTGAATGGTGACCAGCCTGCCACCCTTCAGGAAGTCGTTCCTAACAACACCAATAACGGCAGAGTTTATGCCTAAGAAAAAAAATTGTCCAGCATGTTCTCTTCACTTTGGGCAAATGGCCACTCGGCCAGAGGCGTATGGACCCTGATTGCAGAGTTAGAACTAAAATCAGATGCACACCAAACACCGGAAGCCAGGTGCACATGCAGCTAAGCCAGGTGCACGCCCTACACCGGCTAAGCCAGGGGTGTAGGTCACAGAAGTTTGGTCTTCTGGGTGCAACCCGGCCCACCAGGAGGTCCACCACGGCATCCTCTTACCCCCCAAGAGGGAAGGACCCTGTGAGGCCTGTGTCCCACTGCTGTGCCCACAGGCAGAGTCGTGAGGCAGTTAGGGTACCTTGGGGTACAAAGGTATTGTGGATTCTGCGTCCCAGGCTAAAGGGGGGGGAATAACCTATTTCATTTTATTTTTTTTTCCAGTTCTCTCAGGCCAGGCACACCACAGCCCTTTGAAACGATCTGTGTCCCTTACCCCACCCATGAATGTGCCAAACCAGCCTCTAGGACATGGATGGATGTCTCATGAGGACTTACGAGCTAGAGGACCCCAGTGCCTCCCCTCCGATCATGCCCCCCTGTCTCCACAAAGCAGTGTAGCCTCTTCAGGAAGTGGTGGGAGTGAACACTTAGAAGATCAGACCACTGCTCGTAACACATTCCAAGAAGAAGGTAGTGGTATGAAAGGTGAGTGATGACCGAGGGACCACGACGTCCCTCCCTTCGTTCGGAGGTGGAAGGGTAAAGAGGAGCTAGTCAGCGAGAGAGAGAGCCCAGCCCCTCTCCCCAGGCCTGTGGCTGCCAACCGTCCCCAGCAGGCTGGCCCTACAGGAAAGGACCTGGAACCCCTTCCAGCACAACAGCGTGCTCAACACCCTCCTCTTCATTCCGCTGCCCGACCCTCAGATGAGCTCCTGAATCCCACTAACTAGCAGGGACATCTGTCCCTAAGCCTGCTGAGCTGCTCCAGCCTCTGCTGTGCTGCCCTGGCCAGGTACCTGTCGCTAATTCAGAAAACCAAACCATTGAAGTGATTTTTCTTTTCCTTTCTAAGTGTCTCAGCAGAGAATTCCTTTCTCTCTCCCTTTTTCCCTGATACCCAAAGAAATCTCTCCACCCTTTTCCCTGCCTGGGCCATGAAAACACACCGAGAAGGCCTGACAGTGTTTTAAGCCTGATCGTGGATTTGCATAGAGGGGAGAAAGGCCTTTTGCGTGGCCCAAACAGGGTTCCTGGAAATCTCCTCTCTTCTAAAGATCCTCATCAGGAGATAGAGATTTCCAGATCACTCATGATAGCCTTGAAGAGCGTATGGGACGTTCTGTATTTCTAGATTCCAGCTGTTCAAGGGCTGCAGGTCCTTAGGGAGAGGTGCTCATCAGAAACAGACGATAGCAACCGGCCGTGGAGAGAGAGGAGCCAGGTCGGCTCCAGGGACTCCAGTGCCGAGGGGACGCGCTCTGTGCTAGATGAATACAGCCCTGGAGTTTGCTGCTCTGGTCTTCTGCCCGTTGCAAATTGACGGCCGTTGACGTGGGAGACTCTGTACCCAGTCCCCTTCCACCTGGTACCAGCAGCTGAAAACCACAGCCTTTTGATCTGGTCCGCCCCACACGCCCCCTCTCCCATCCACGGTAGTACCTGTGTTCAGTGCCCCAAGGAATGACACATGGCTGGATGTTTGCCTCTGGTGCAAATGGGTCTTCACAGGCGCATAACAGGCAGCAAAGTCCGTGGATCACTCAAGCAGGGAGGAGCCCGTCCTCTTCCTCCTCCACCGTTTCCAGGGAGCCGCACCACCCTTTTGGAGAAAGAGCAAAACCGATTCCTGAGTTTATGCTCTGAGGTTTCCAGCAGCTGAGCCTCAGGTCACGGGTTGCAGGGGAGGCTCAGCCATGCTCGTGGCCTGGCTTGGCATCTGTCACCAAGCCTGAGATACTTGAGGGAACTTCCAGTTGGCTTCTTTGGCATCCCAGTGGCCTGTGTCTGAGACAGCGTAGGAAGGGTTCTAACTGGTGCCTGTGAGAAGAGGCCTCACCTGGGCCCTGACAGCAAGGGGCACCCTGAGGCGAGACCCTTCACCCCGGGACAAAGCCCTCTCAGGAAGAAAGCTGATCCCCTGTCTGACGTCTGGATATTTGTTTTCTTTCTTCTTTCCTTTCTCTTTATTTTCTTTGTTTTGTTTACTTTTGTTTAAGGCCCTCTGTCTACCTCACATATTCTCCAAAAACAGGTAAAGATATATTCATTGTAAGCAGGCATTTTAAGGTAAGAAATGAATAAAGATATTCTTCAAGAGATATGAATGAAAGAATAACCAAATAAACGTCCAATCCCTGTTTTAGGATAAAAGCCAAAATTTGCCAAAGTTTAAGGTATATCCCATAGATACTCTTACTTGATTCCTTTGTTTAGAATTAGTAAGAATTGTCTCCTCAGAGTTTATTCACAGACAAATATGGCACATCTAAGACTTTCTTTACAGGCCTATAGGTTTGGGTCACAAAATGGGCTATTTGGTGCCCAGACTAAACAGAGGACCCCTTTCCATGTATTCCTACCTTTTTTGACCTGTTGAAATTTCTTTCACCTGAAGAATTGGATTAGGATTCAAAGTATAAAATCATAGTGAATTAAATGGCAAAAATATATATATATATATATTTGAAGGAAGGATCATTACAGATGATGGATTCTACTTGTTGGGAAAGTATATTTGCAGCTCAGTTGACAAGTTAGGAAGTGGAAATTTCCATGCCCAGAAACATTAGCGTTCCAAAGTGTCACAGGGCCAGTATTTACTAAAACCGTGTGCCCCTCCCCCAGCCCAGCTGTGACGCACCCTCTGCTAAGGATTCCTCGTCATCCAGGATCATTCAGCATGGTGCCCTAGGAGCATGTCCAAGAAGCAGCCCTAAACACACCCACCCAACAGCTTGTCATTTGATTGCCTTGTCTAAGAGCAGATGCTAGTTTAAATTTCCAAATTAATTCCCTTTTTAAAAGAAATGAACTATGAAAATCAAGTGAAACACTTCTAAAAAGAGCTAGGTCTTCCTCTTGGGCCTACATCTTTCCTTCTTGTGACTCCGGACCTTGGGCAGGAATAGGGTCCACAGCTATTCAGGATGTCATCCTTGAACCACCCAGTTCTATGAACAAGGAGTTTATAGTAGAATCTGGATGAATCCATGAATCTTCAGGAAAGGCATTTGTCCAGACACTTTACCTTGGGGAAAGAACAGAAAGTCACCATCACTGAACTTGGTTGGATGTAAATTCATCTTTCTGGCCAACAGGTATGCAGAACTTGCTAAAATAGTGTCTTCAGCCTTTCCTTCCTTTCCAGCTAGACAGACTAGGCAGGTGTGGCTGTAGTCACCCCTTAGGACTGTACCTCCTGGGTGAACCTTGTGGAATAAACTCTGCTTGCTCTTTATTTTTTACATGGATTGGTCCAGCCCTCCTTTTTTCTTGATGTTAGCACATTCTACCACTAAGTTCTTCCCCAGGTAGACCAACTCCTGCTCTCAAAAGACTAATATCATCTGCCTACATTGCTGTATTTTTCCTTTTATAGTAAAAAACCTACCCTGATGGCTAAAATTGGCTCCAAGTTCAGACTGAATGTCCCTTCCATCTGAAGCAGGCTCAGGCACCATCTCAAGCTAAAGGAAAAATGGGATCGACCATTCCACTTGAAACTAACCCAAGAGGAGTGGGGAATGAGCTGGAATATGAAATTTTCCTCCCTTCCCCATTCCCTGTGGAGGCTCCTGGTTGTACATAGTCAGTTTGGACTGACTATGGTGGTTGTGGTTTCTAAATCCAGTTGTTCTTGTTCTTTCCGAAACTTTCACTGTGACCTACCCCGGGGAGAGACTGTGATTCTGAGTTGGTACTGGTTATGATGCCCTTCACTTCCTGGGCAGCATGTGGGTAGAGCCTCTCTCATACAAGGGCTTGGGTAGAGGGGCAGAGATTCCCCTAATTTCCCAGAAGGCAGAGTGGCACTTGGTTGAAGAGTCTGTTTGCCTCTTTGCCCCTCATATGAACATCTCATGCTCAGTGATGCTATCAGCCCATCTGAAAACTTAGCAAAAAGAAAGCCAGGACTGTTACTGAATGATGTGGCTGAAAGAAGGGAGAATTCATGGGTTCACCCTTTCCTTGGTCAAGTCAGTGATGATTTTGAGCACCTGCAGAGAGAGGCTTGGGTGAGTGGACTCTGAAGACTTCTTTTATGAGCAGCAAGCAGGTACCTAATGCAGGACACTGCTGCAGAGCTGTGCTGTCTTGGAGACTTGCCGTGGGTTGGGGCACGCACCACAAAGGGTCCTGATTCAAAGACAGGGGAAGCAGGGAACGTTCCTAGAGGAAGGGAGCCTGGAGCAGAGTCTCGGAGTGTGGTTAGCATGAAGGAACGATGTTCTGTGCAGAGAGAGCAGCATTGCGGAAGCACGGGAAGGAGAGGACCAAGCTGAGGAGGTCTTTTATCCTGCAAGGATTGAAGGACTTCCTGCAGCAGAATTGCCCAGATGTGTATATTAGAGAGGGAGCCTAGGTGGAAGGCTGGCCAAGGTGAGGAGGAGAAGGGTATTCTGGATGTGGGGGCCTGCAGGAAGGTAGAGGATTTTTCAGTAATTGGGGAGGAAAAGGAAGGTGGACCCAGACAAGCAGCAATGACGATGGAGACAGAGGAGTGTGATGCCGGGAACTGCAAGAAACTTGCTGAATGGAGACCGTGATGGTGTGGGAGGCATCTAAAATGGTGCCCAGGTTTCTACCTGAGACATCTGGTTGACCCTTGATGTCACCTTATAGCAAAGGATCCATGGGAAGAGAAGCAGATGATGGTGACAGCTTGGGGCATGAAGACTGGGGAGCTGTAGACCATTCCAGTGGAAGTGTGCAAGCCCCTCGGTGGTCCCCATAGGGGCCTCCCACTCCTCCTGGTGGTTGTCTGTGTACGGGAGTGTGATTGGTGCTGGGTTCTCTTCTCGCTACTACGAATCAACATCAGCCGGGCGCACTTACAATGCAGGGACCGAGGTTGATGTTTTGTTTGTGTAGAGACATGATAAACAGAAAAGAAGGAACTCTTGGCTCCTGCAACCTTGCCAGCCACATCACAGTTAAGAATAGAGGCAGCCAGGGACTGGATGTATGTGGTTTGCCTTTTCTAAGTGTTTTTCTTACATAAGAAACTTGGGGAAACTTTCTCCACAGCAGAGAAAATAAGTCATTTACTCTGAAATAGCCAGTGCGAGGCTTGGAGGTGTTTTTTGAAAGGTAGACCTTTAATCCTCTGCCTCTTGGAATGAGACTAGAAAATTATTGAGAGGTGAGATCCTTTTTAAGAAAAGGAAACCTGTCAGAACCCTTTGGAGGAGAGGTTGTGAATACGGCATCTCTCAGGGTCGTAAAGAGCTGAGTGATGGAGTGGGAGTGACACAGCTCTGTGAGTGCCCGGGACACTTTTCAGCATGGCTGTCATCGAAACTAGTCATTATTTTCTGAATGTTGACTTCCCAGGTGCTGTCTGGAATTCATTTCACCTGAACACATCTGCTGCATTTTCTTTATTCCCGAGCACCAACATGTGACCTGAACGGATGGGTCCTCACTGTTCAGAGGGAGTTGTGCTCACTGAATCCCTAGATTCCCCCAGGTCCTAACGGTCTGGG